CCTTCCTACTTTGGACCATAATGTATTCATCTTTCTAACCTTAGTAATCTAGCTCTTGACAACCACTTTCGTCTTGTTTACATTTGTTCCCGGAATATTTATTCATTTTAAATGAAACTAGAGACGTCCGCGGGCAGCTTCTCGTTTATTTGAACACTTCTTTTGAAATTTCGTTTCCAGTTTCTAAACAGCATTCAATTTAATCAGGTTCAAAAGTTAGATGAATTTGACTAAAAGAAAACTTTTAATGTATATCCTTGAGTTGTGCAGTAACTGCAGCCAATAATAAATCCCCATTCAAGCCATATAAAAGTCAYACTATTTTGACCAAATATGGTCATATTAATCTCAGAAGTCATGGAAATATACTCGCAATTCCCCCGCAAATATATATATACATATATCTCCATGGGAAACTCAATAAACATTGCCATATGAACAAATTTCAATACAAGCGCATGTAGTTGCTAGAATAAACGAAATATTATCCAAATAGTTCCTWGTTGGTTGTTGTTACATTCATAATAGTTTGTTTTATCAACCATAAATTTAATAAATAACTCGGCCATCCTCAGGGAAATGAAACGTTACAATAGGCGACTTGCACTAAGAGGTCACGTGATCAAATCGGCCATTGTGGCTGGTATTCTACAGGTTTTTAGCTATGCGAGAATGTAAAAAAAGATGGCGGGTTTGGATAGTTTTTTGGTGATAAAAGGTAAGCTAGCGAACTAAATAACTATAAAAATCCCCTTTTCTTGCAAGAAATATATTCTTAGTATATATCTAAAGTAGATTTGTGCTATTAACTCGCCAAGAAGAGAAAAAATATGGTATTTTTTAGAGCTATGATGTGAAGACCTAAGAAAAACGCGATCAAACCATGGCATATGTGCGCRCATTAAATTAAACAAAATCGCGCGCGCTTAGGAAAAAAATTAATTAATTAATTAAAATTAAAAAAAACATTACCCTCCCATCTCGTACAATATTTTTTTAAGTTTCGAGTTCTCTGTGTTGCTCTGCGCTGGATTTCACTTTGTGTGGAATATTTATGTGTTCTACACGGTCCGTGGAATAATCCCTTTCACAGTTCCCTGCGCCATCTTGAAAGGTAGCCGTGCCTTTGCATCGAAGCGAGACGAACGGTGAGCTTCCAATGATAGAGACCTTTTTTAACACTTTAGACAATTGTTCACATGTCTCTATCATTGTAAGCTCACGTTCGTCTCGTTTCGATACAAAGGCACGGCTACCTTTCAAGACGGCGCAGGGAACTGCGAAGGGGACTATTTCAAAGTGATTGTATTGTTCAAGTTGTGCATTCTTTACTTTACCGTTAGTATTTGTGACTAGTGAATATTCTAAGTAAATGATGAGTCTGTAATCAAGGAACACAGCGGTATTCGAAGAATTCGGAAAAAATAATCTTTCTACTTTTGACAGGTGGTACCCTGGCCCAGAGCAAAATATGGGGAGTTCCACAGAGGTGACAGCTACATCGTCCTCAGAACATACAAGGAGCCTGGTAGCGAGGTGGGTTGCAAGTTTGCTCATGACTTCATAGGCGCCATGTTGGAAGAACTAGACCTAAGATTTTTCAATGAATTCTTTTGTTATATTTCACAACTGGGTGGTTTTGTCTATTGTTATTTCAATCCCTTGGCAATGGGATTGCAAACCAAGAATATTCAAAATACTTTCTACTAACCTTAAAGTAACGCAATCTGCACTTACAATTTTAATTCAAATGGTAACGCGAGAAAATTCAATGCAAAATCCAGTCAATCAAAATGGACCTTTCTCAAAATTATCTTGCATGAAAGGCTAACATGAAAATACAAAATAAATCACACTTTTTCTCGATGGAATTTGTGACATCTCGAAGTGTTCACGGTTCTCCTCACTGTACTATGAGGGTGCTGAAGGGATAAAATGGGAGCTAACGCTGGGATTCGCCTTTTTGGGCTCGGAAAATGAGATATTTTTATGCAGTGGGAATGGGATTCAMAAACAACAACAAAAAACATTGAAAAAAAAWGGAAATGGGATTAAAATGTTAGCAGAACATAGAATGGGAATATGGGAGTTGATCAAAATGGGGGCTGGGAAATGGGATAAGGACCCCTTCATTGCGCTCAGTAATGTAACGTCCTTTATTCCTGTTGGTATTTTACCAGGAACTGGAGCATGACCTTCATTTCTGGCTTGGAAAAGAATCCACGCAGGATGAGATGGGTACTGCAGCTTACAAGACTGTTGAACTGGACACCTTGGTAAGAAATAATTACTTTTGAATTCAGTCTTGCCTTGCCTTGCCTTGCCAGTTTTCGAGACTAATTGAATTTTTATATATTGTCTAGTTGGATGATAAGCCTGTGCAGTACCGTGAGGTAGAAGGCTTCGAAAGTAAATTGTTCAAGAAATGCTTTGGTAGAATCACGTATTTGGAAGGAGGGTTAGTAAAGTGATGGCTGTCTGTAGTTGCATGTTAATAGCAAGCATAGATGGATGAATGGATGGATGGATGGATGGATGGAT